AAACTTACTGAGGATTGGACTTTGAATTTTTAACTCTGCCACTAACTGGTGATGTGATTTCCAGAACATTCTTGGTGTCTTGGTTGCATGTACGATAAAATGAATGAGTTGTCTCTAAGGTCTCACTCACGTATAGTACTGTATGACTTAGAGCATATGTTTAGTTTTCAAAAATATGAGATTTAAAGTCACTACTTTATGGCATATTGATGGTAACAGAAAAAAACAATTTTTATAGTTTGTGCAAAGGGCCTTTCAACAGATGTGGGTGGGGAGGGTGGATACAGGTAATTCAATTACGAAACACCAAGCAGAGCTGTAGGCTAAGAACGCTGAGGGAAAAGTCAAGACTTATTTTCCTCAAACAAGGAAACTCTTCCCTAAACAGATTTCTTATTTATCATTTTTATCTACTTAGAGGAAGACCATTTTGCCAAACCTATTACACTGTTTCTGGAGTCCACAATGGTTACTCTTATTTTGACAAGTCTAAATTCATCTTTCACAAACACATATGTTCATGATTTTGTAGGGTACAGAGAAATTAAAGGGCTGCAGGTACTCTATTAGGCTAGGACGTATAAGCAGGTTCCTGTGCAATACTGATTCCCTGATATACTTACCCTTAATTCTTCACACAGATCTGTATTCCTCCCTCTGACCTTGAGACATATACTCAAAGCTTACTTTAACAAAGAATGCAGGCTACCATAGTTTGATGAAATATTTATTTGTACTACTATAGTTTATGAATAATCTAATTTATGTAAGTTCTACAATGAATTCTAAAAAATCAGATCTCATACAAAGGAATTTTTTATATATAAAATACTAGACTCAATTTCTCAACACAGTTCAATTTATTAGGTCATAAAGATTTGAAAATGCATGTTTTTCAATCTCCTTTCATAATTCTAAGTTCTAAATCCTATATGTAGTACTTTTATGTGAATCTTCTTTGCCTATTAACAGGAAGGCAGAATACTCCTGTTGAAGAAATTATCAATAACTTATAGCTGAACATAATTAAGTACCCACTGACAATCTTTTCTTAATTTTGTATATTGATGTTCAACAGTCAGCATCTACTCTGGTACTTACACTGTGGAAATCTTAACTGACTCATTTACTTGTTGAAGAGAGAAACCTTTAGAAACACTCCATGTCCTCTCTGGTCTGGGGAAGAGCCCCTGAATGGATCAGTCTCACAATGGCCTCTGTTCAGTATGTTGTGTGTCCCAGAGCAGGGAGCAGTTTCAAAGGAAGCACCCAAGGGTGTCTAAACCCCTCAGGTCAGGTCTTCAATCTGTCACTTTTATTACTTTGTAATTAATATTTTCCATACCAGAACTACCTATACCAGCAACCTAAGTAAAACTGGGGTAGAAATGTAGCTCAGTGGTAGAACACTTGCCTAGAATGTGCAAGGCTCTGAGTTTAATCTTCATTACTGTAAAAAATAAAAGAAAATAAAGAGTGTTCTCTTTTGTTTTAGTCTGCTGAGATTATTGCCACATCTGATCTCTACCAAAAGCGTTCATGGCTAATAGTTCATATAAATGATATACTTTTCCCAAGGCTATACATACAAGATTAGTGTAAAATATAATAAAAATATGTTTTAACCAGTCACCACCAATATGGAAATTTTCCTTAAATTTATGATTATACAAGAATGGATTAATAATAATAATAATTTTAAAAAGGCTCTTTTGAAAAACTGAGCAGATATCTGTGTCCCAAGAACTGACGGATCCTAAAGCCTTATTTGATAGAAGGATGACAACCTGCACAAGCCCCACCTGCCTCTTATGTTGGTGGGGACTCCAGTTTAAGAAGGGACAATTTGTCTTCAGTATCTATTACTGAGAAATCCTCATACTTGCAGGAAGTGGAAAAATAAAATATTCACTTTCCAAATTGGATTAGGGTTCTAATCTTAAAGGACAGGGCAAGCTCATTGTGTAGAACCCCTCTACCTACCTCCCTACCACTACCAAAAAAAAGCTAAGAATACTTCCTGATTTTTAAAAAGGGGTGAAGTAAAGGGGAAAATGGACTATTTTTCTAAAAATTCCATGGTGCTATTTTAGCTTCCAGCTTCATTATTCTAACACTGCTTTTTAAAGCTAAGGGCAACTTGAGCATAATTTCAAGAAGATCCAATTCATGAAAATAAATAGGAATTTTGTACACATTATGAATTTCAGGGAAATTCCAGAGTAAATGCATTTACAGAGTATTGACAGAATTTTCACAGGGGCAAGTCCAGGAAAATCATAATTTTAATTTGAAATATTACATCAAAGATTTACCATCCATCAAATTAGTAGTGGAAGTCACTTAACATCTTTTTTGGAAAGGGCACTAGGCAATGTCCAATTTGAAGTTAAGTATCTCCCCTAAAACACAAATCTGTTAAAAAGTTACTGTGGGACCAATAACACAACTGTATTAGCATTATGAAAAACAGTATTAACTGCCTTCAAGCCACATTTATAAGAGTTTGACTTAAGTTACAGCCCAAGACCCAACATGTTAGGCCTACTTATATTTTCTAAATTTTAACTATAAAAATTTTGGTACAGTCAGGTATGATAAAGAATGTAAGTATTAAAAAAAGATCTAGAAAGCATAGGAACAAGAACAAAACCAAAGCAAAGATTCATTGGTTCATTACAAGAAGCCCAGAGGAGTAAATGAAACCAAATCTTACTTGTATGAAGTCTAGTGCTTTACTTACAATGGGCAACCACTTTTTCCTCCTAAAACCACTCACTCACCAAATTCTTTTAGAGCAGCATGCATTACTTTTTTTTTTTTTAAACAAAGGACTACATCTGCTTGAACTAATCTGATGAAAAACATAATCCATTTTACTCCCATTGGCCTTTGACCAACCACTGCAACTAATTATGCTGGCTATTTTGGGTTTTCACAACATGGAATTTTAAAGAACACACTGAACTCTACAACTTTTTGCAAGACTGGGCAATTTCAACACATTTTGGTGCTAAGATGTTGGCACCACACTTTCAACAGAGACTACATAAATTTCCTTAACATGGTAAATTAAGAACTTTGGATTTAGAGATATATATGAAGTGATCCAATAGAAATAGATACACGTACTGTTAACCTGAATGGACTACTATTGTATCACTGCTTCTGCTGTAAAAGCACTTTTAATCACTACTGGTCAGTAACAACAGCTTTTTATACCTGTACATCTTTGGTATTTAAAATCTTACTCAGAAAACTGTGATGTGTGCTAACTGGCAGCTCATATGAACTACAGGCATGAAATGCACAGGTTGCTTTCTTCGAGTTTAAAGGGAACAAGCATATAAATATCATTTAGGGTTGCTTTCCCATGGTTTGGGTTGGATATTTTTACGGAACCTGGAAGATGAGGATAGCAGGATGTTTGGGAAGAGGCAGAGCTTTGTTTCACCCTCCTGGTTTGGTGATACTGACAGGATTTCAAGGAAAAGGGAAACTGCTAGAGAGTAGTTAAGGAGAGTAGAATCCACCCCCCCCCCCACCCCAGGTCTTGGTTCTGTGCCTGAGCAGGAGTCTCAAAGAAGCAGAAGGCTGAAGCATTACTGAAGAAAGCTATGTGCAGGGCAGAGGATAAAGGAACTCTTCCTAGGGTAAACTGAAAAGGACCCAAATTCACTTTAACTTGCTTAACTACAGCTTACCCAGATTCATCTAGTCTTATGTTAAAGTAAAAATGCTGTGACAATCTATCAGCCTCTATTCTGCAGCCACTTAACCTTCATCTTTACCACCTCAAAATTCTGTTTCCTCTCTGAAAATGGGACCAGGAAACTTCCTTTCCTGATTACTGACCCAATATCAAAACACAAAATTTATTTTCACAGACACTATGTATCATTTTTCAAAATGGCAAAAATATTACCTCCATTCATAATGTATTTTAGAAAACTGCTCAAGATTTGGGATGACATGCTTTAAATATGGTTCCTACAGCTCTTAATTCTCAGTAAAACCCAGGCTGGCATCCTTTCACATAGAGCAGCAACTCTGGAAGGGAGCAAGACCATAGACATCCTGGTGACAGGTGATTGGGAAGAAGTCCCAGGGTTCTAATTCAATTCCCTACCTAATCACTAACTGATTCTTGAGCTCTGGACTCTTAAACTTTCATCACTGCAATAACAGCCTGAAATGATGTTTAAGGTCTCCTTAAGCTTTAAGCTGCTCATGAACTAATCACATGTTATGAGTTCTAACTACAAATTACATAAAGAAATTACAGAGGATTTATCAAAGTCTATGTTTGTCCCAGATTAAGTTTGTTATTATTGTGCTGTTATGAAGCAAACCTGTTGCTTCACATGGAATACCCTATTTCTGAATATGCACTAGAAATACAGTTAGTAGACTGGCTAAATTTTCATTTTTTTGAAAAGTAAACAATAGTATACCTCCTATGATGGGAAGTTCTCCAGTTTCACCTTTTGACTTTGTAAGTACACACAAAATGCCACCTGGCAGAATGGGGCCATATGACTGAACGCTAAGGAGCTCTGGCTTGCTGCTAGTACTTTTACATCCTGGTTGAATGATGCTTTAGTTTACTGGCAAGCTTCACTTTAAAGCCACTTCCAAGCCATACTGGGGGGGGGGGCTGTAAAGTACCTTCACTGTACTGTACCCAAACTACTAAATGTATACAGCCAGTAGAGGTTTGTCTATCACCAGCCGATGTATTAACACCAACTTCATATGGCTTAAGCTCACCACAGCATGCAAGTTAAAAGCAATGGGATTCAGCATATATCGTAATTAGCTACGTCTACTATAAAACTAAAAAAAGGAAAATGAAAGAACCTTTGACATAACACCTGGTGGAAGAGGAAAACCTCCATCTCCCACTACAGGGTAATGTTGCAGTTTTCAGAGTTTCAAAGATTTGCCATTTCTCCCAGAAAAACAGCCAACTGGGAGGGATTATGACATGATGCACTCACCTCTACGATCTTTGCCCTCTTCTCACGGATAGCTTCATCCGCAGGCTCCCGGTTCTCCACTCCAATGGGAGGCACAAAGTCCACCTCCGGCAACCCTCTGAAAGGATCCTTGTCACGCAGCTGGTCCTGGGCTACCTTCTCCTTCTCCAGCAGGATGTCTCTTTGGATCTCCTCTGGCAGCTTCTGCAGGGTCTCTTTGGCTTCCCTCAGAGCCCGCTCGTGGTTTTCGCGGATCCTGGCCAAGTTGTCCTCCAGGGCGGCCGCGGGATTCCCGGGCGCGCCCTCCTCCCGGAGCCGGGGTAGCCCCTCCGCTGAGTCCTCGGCGCGCGCCCCGGGCCCAGGCTTGTGGTCGGCGGCCGGCTGCAAGGCGGGGCTGGAGTGGAACAGGACTCCACTGAGCAGCTTGGAGGAGTCGGGAAGGAAGAATATTGCCCCGAAGCAGAGAGTGATGAAGGCGCTGAACACCAGAAGCAGCACGAACTTCTCCGTCAGGCGGAAGGCGGAGGGGCCGGACCCCTTCCTGCTGCCGCCGCCGCCGAGCCCCCCACCCAGACCGCCGCCCAGACCGCCGCCCGCGGGACTGCTGAAGAGCGGCAACAGGCCCCCCACGGGCATCGCTGCCGCCGCCGCGGCCGCCGGGCGGCCGTCTGTCCAGTGGCCCGGCGCCGAGCGGGTCAGCAGCCAAACTTCGCCGCTGCCGGGCGTCAGCGGCTGCGGGGCTGGGTCCTGCGCATCCAGGCCGCCCGAACCGCTCCGCTGGGCTGCAGGTCTCCCCAGGGGAAACAACTCTCCTCCGAATCTTCTCCCCGGGGCGGCTCCCTTTGCAAACAAGCACGCGTGACACACCGCTGGCTGCAGCGCCTGCGGGGAGAGAAAACAGTAAAACATAGTAATTATGCGAATCATGATAAAGTTTCCAGCGGGTCTCCGCCCTCCGACGGCCTGGCGAGCCGTCAGGACAGCTCCCCCTGCTCAGAGACCCTGAGTCCAGCTCCGGGCACCGCCCTCGCAACCCACTCTTTGGACTTGAGGTGAAGTTTTTGAGTCCCGGGGGGTAGAGGATGTCCCGCGCACACCTGGGGCAGAGAAGCTGGCGGACACCCCCTGGAGGGGGCAGAGCACCTCTGTCAGGAAAAGCGCAGCGTGGGTGGGGGGCTCCTCAACTTCGCCCGCTCTCCATCTCCGAGCCGAGATCGGCTGCCTCTTCCAAGAGGCGACTGAGCGTGCAGCCCGGGCTGCCCTGCAGTCCCCGCCGCGACTCAGGTGGGCGAGTGCACCCACCCACGGGTAAGTCAGAGCGGTCAGGGCAGCACGATGCCCTCCACCACGGCCCCGCGAGCACTAATATCACTGCCGGTCTCCGGGCGGTCGGAAACGAGGGCGGTGACGCGTCCGGAGAGTGACAGCGAGGGCGGGCCAATCTTACGCCGCCCAGGGTCCCGCGGGGGTGGAGCCGAGGCGGGGAGGGGGCCGTGCGGGGCGGGGAGTTTACGGGAAGCGCAGCCTCGCGGGGGCCCGGCCGGGGGCGGGGAGGTCGCTGGTCCTGGAGGCGCGAGGCGGGCTGGAGCCACCGGGAGCAGGGCGGTCAGACCCGCGTGGAGGCCCTGGGTGAAGAGGCGGCGGTCTCAGGTCCCCGAGTTTATTCCGCGCGGGCCTCAGGCTCGGGTCCCAGGGGTGGTTGGTTCTCCAGTGATCCGGGAGGCACCTGGGATTGAAGCTGAACCTTCTGGACTTGCTTTTGGATAGCATCTTGCGTAGCGGTCGGGTACCCACTGCCAGGGGTCCCGGAAAAGGCAGTAGATCGCAGGGCACTGAGTCGTTCCGAGGCGCGTCTTTTTCTCCAATTACCCTGTTTTTACCCAAGGCAGAGATTCCCCGGTGCTCAATAGCAGTTAAACCGAAGTCCCTCGTTAGAAGAAGCATGATCTGATCGTGAGAGCTCTTGAGCACTCTGGTCTATCTGAATAACATCCTTTTACATCCTCAGAGACTTATGGTTTTGTGGGTGCTTAGGACTCTTCCTATGCACCCTTTCCCCCTTCAACATAAAGTTGTGTGCTTCCCCCGCCCACCCTCACTTTCGAAATTCATTTACCTCATAGCAGTTGGTCAGATTTTCCATTCAAAGGAGTCAGTTTTATGCTGCCAGAGCTTCAAGCAATAAATTGAATACTGTTGAAATTAAGTCTTGGATCCGAGTACTTCCAGCGAAGTAAGGACTGGGTCCAATAGAATGTTTTCAACACAGCCTTACAGTATTTAATATCTCAAGGAATGTCATGGAGACTGGCTCCACCTCCCATGACATCGCATGGAATGTCCTGGTCTCTGCTGATACCACATAGAAAGACTTTAGGATCCAATAGGTAGGTAACCCACTACCCCCGAGAGGGCTGGCCAGCATTATTTTCCAAAATGTGTTCCTGATTCCCCCTTTGCTACAGTAAGGGGTAATCAGAAAAAAAAAAAAAAAAAAGAAGAAGAAGAAGAAGAAGAAGGAAAAAAAAAGTTGATTGACTTCCCATTACTGAAAGCTAGTTTGTAGGAGCCTTGACTTAGCCTCACCCTACTCTGGAAATGTGATTTTAGTTCTGCTTCTGCTTGTTGTCTTATAACAAAGGAAATAGCTGACACCTTTCAGGAAGGTGCCCACAATATGGTTGTTTTCAGGTGTTAGACTGTATGAGAAAATACAAAACTAAATCAGAAATCCTATTGCAGTTTTCACATATATATTGATTTTAGCTTGATATATTTATTTTTGTAAAATGCGCCAGTCATAGGAAGTTCTAATTAATAGGAAATTATGGTTTGATAAAGACAACTGACGGCTTCGTTATTTTGATACCTGCTATGAAATTCTATGCCCAGAAGAGTGCAGCATATCCAAGCAGGGTAATAAATTTAGGACTGAAAAAATAAAATGTTATATATTTTTTTAATGATGGGAAGGTGATTTTTACTTCAAACTACATTTATAGGTTATAGGTAGGCTGAAAATTTGAATCACTGTGAAATAATATTACTTGTTTCCAACAACATTCTTAAAACCGAGTTAATTCATGGATACATAAATGACAGAAGTTGGGATTCATTACCCAGGAAGCAAACTGCTTTATGATCATTTTTGGACTGACCTATTCTTTTAAAATTTTTGTTTTAAGAAAGAGGTCACTTTTTATGGTGACAGAAATATTTGGAAACTTTGCTTAAATTAATCTTTTAAGTATTCCAGAAAAGCAATAAAATCTATTTTTTTAGTGCATGTTAAAATGGCGGTGAAGGGGAAGTTATAACCTAATTCTGTTTCTGAACTCTAATTTTCATACCAATAAGTTTGGGCATTGACTCTACTGACTGTAGTGGAAACATTGAAAAATTGGCACTGAGATTTAAGAATGATTTTTCCCTAAGAACTTTACATTTGATTTATCTATATTATTTCTAAATCTTTTAGAGGACTGCTCTTTTAATTTTAACTCACTCTTAAGAAGCTTATTATAAGATTTTTTTATTATCTGTATTTCTTATGACAGAAGCTTATTGTGATTGAAACCTGGCTTAATAATTGGTTAAAGAAGAAATTAGCTTTCATATCTGTGGTAGGTGGGAATGATAACTATATGAGAATGTTCATATTTGGGCTAGAGAAAGTTTTAAAAATCACAGGAAAGTTGTCTTAGAAGATATACCATTCAGAACAACCATGCAAACTTCTTAAAAATAACCACCAAGCGTAGTCCTGTATATGCATGTAAGGGAGGGAGTAGAGTCGAGTCAACAAGAAAAATGTACTTATTGTAGAAGCAGAAATGTGACACTTTGCCTTGATTTTAGTGTCACAAAGTACTTCATGTTCTCCTGTTGAAAAAAAAATGTTTTGCACCCTGAGATTAAAAACAAAAAAAATGTTTTTTGTTCTGGTTTCTCAACTCATAAAATCTTTACTGACCCGTAAGACCATACTCCCCACTCTTATCTACCTAGACAATGTTGTGATCTTTGTGAGTACAATGATTGAGATGAAATTGCTGTTTTCTCATGAGTAGTCTGATACAAATTTGGCAACCTCTGTAATGTTGTTGAATTTTTTTTTCTCTTTAAATACTTGCTGTGCCTTTTGATTTGACCAGCCAGTCTTTCTGAAGTACAGCTCCCTTGAATGAACCTTTTGCAAGTTGCTTATAAGCATAATTCTTACTTTTTCCTTTTTTTCAATGTTTGTGTCTTAGACAAATATTTGTAAGTGTTCATATTTCAAGATATAATCTTTAAAATCAATTCATTTTTAAGTAACCCGGCTATAGTCATAGATAACCTCCCTAAAACACACCACACACACACACACACACACACACACACACACACGTCCCCAATTTTTTTGGTTGTTTGAATTTCACCATTTTTTCTTATAATTTAACAAAGGGTAGATTTAACTTTCACATTAATATGTCTAAAATTAAATATAATAATTATGAGCAGAGTTACAGAGGAAAAATTGGCAAAATGTTAATAAAAACTTGTTTTGAATTAGTAGTTTTATAAAATTATTATGTTTTCAAAAACCAAAATGCAAGAACACTTCCTAATAGGCAGTTTCCAGAAGGTACCAGTTAGAAGTTTATGAATGAATCTTTTTGAGGATTTTGTTCTCTGATTTAAAAATAAAAAGTAGTCTAATAAATATATAAAAAGTAGTCATATATATGTATAATAAAAACTAGTCTAATAAATATATAAAAGTAGGCATATGTTTTTATATTTAAATAAAAATATATATTATATGTATATATATGTTATATATACATTGTTGAACTTTCATATATATATATATATATATATATATACATATATATATTATATGTATATATATGTGGTAATTACTGAAAATTTCCAAGCTAGATTTCTGATGTAAAAAAAATCTTTTCCAATTGCCTTCAAATTTCAGGTTAGAATAATTTTTGCTTGTATTTTAAAAATGTAATATGCAGAAAATACTTTATTGTGAACATTATCTCAGAATTGCAATATTTCAGTGAGCAACTTTGAATTTTTTTAAAGAGAGAGAGAGAATTTTTTAATAGTTATTTTTTTAGTTTTCAGTGGACACAACATCTTTATTTTATTTTATTTTTATGTAGTGCTGAGGATTGAACCCAGTGCCCTGCGTATGCCAGGCAAGTACGCTACTGCTTGAGCCATATCCCCAGTCCAAAACTTTGAATTTTTAATATGGAAATTAACTGAAGGTTTTGGTACTAAAATTGGAGACTACTGTTATATCTCTAACTCCATGTTTTTTCCCTTCCTTGGTTTACTTTAGAGTGAGTAGCAGATTATTTTATAGAATTCCGATCACTTTTGGAGAGGCCCAAAGGAGTGGCTTTCAAGAGCTAAATCAACATACCCCTTTGTCCCTGCAGTGTCCTGTTGAAGGATCTGTTTTTCTTTTGAACAGTCATTCCATAAATATTAGCTGTCCATAATTTGAAAACATTGGTTTCACAAGCATTTGCAAATTATTTTGTTGTTGTTGTTGTTGTCATTGTTGAACTTTCAGAGCTTTATTCTACATAGAAACAAAATTTGCTAGCCTCTTCCACAAAGACCTAAGACCCTAGGGAAGACTACTGCAAAGTTGAGGGGAAAAAAATACTGTTTCACTTTTAGTAATTAAAGTTGCATTAAATTAGAAAGTACTTCATTCGTCTTGAATGTCGGAGCCTGAGGACAAACATTTATTTGAAAGAGAAGATATGATGATAGCTTCAGAGAGGTTCTAAATCAACATTCAAGGTGAGAAATGTGTGTGGAGTTCTCAGATATAGGTTTCCTTAATCATGTATACTTTTCTTTTGGTTTGAAGAATATTATAAGGACATCCTTACTGTGATCTTTATTGTGTTTTGATTTGATTTGATTAGCACAGTGACTGAAAGAAATCAGCACAGGAAGAGGCTTTCCTGAGGTACTGGGCAAGGGTTTGAATAAGGGAGCAATTTATTATAGAGGACATGCATGTCCTTGGCTGTGTGACAATGGCAGATAAGTAACCTATCTTCTGTGACTCTCATTCTTCATCAGCAGCATTGCTGTGGCTCTTAGGCTAAATGATATAACTAACATGTCTGGCACAGCAGACGTTCACAAAATTTAAGTCAACCCTCCCCAGCAGAATTCATGCTGTGAGTGGCAGAAGAACAGTATCTATAGGATTCTTACAAGGAAGACCCACAAAAGGGTGATGGGGAAGAAATTGTGGATTATGTGGTTCTTCATAGGATTGTCACTTTTCAGATCCTGTACTTTGAATAATATCCACTGGAAAATAAGGGATGGGTGGGCTGAACAGCCTCAGGTTTGATAGGTGGTGGATTCCACCAATGTTTCTCTGCTTGTATAAGTAGAACCTAAAAGTTTACTAGTGAACCAGGGTTATAGTTCCTAAAGCCTTAGGAAAACATGAGCAGTGGCAAAGTCAAGTAAGGAGAATGATATTGCCTGTTGGTGCTTAAAGAATCAGGAAACCAGGCCTAGAGCAGAAAGGTTAGATATAGAATGTTAGCAATGACCCTTACAGACTCTTGTATATAAAATAATATATAAGAATTTATGACTTGAGAATACACTGTTTCAACAAAGGAAAAGTTTCTTTCCTTGACCAAAGAAAGATATAAAATTTTTCCTTTATTAAAAAGTTTTTAATATACTAGATTTATTTTTAAAAAGAATATATTTTTCTGTAAAATTTTTTCTCTCCATCTTCTTATCTCATAAATGATTATGTGCGTTTCCAGAAAAACAAAACAAATTCAAAAAGAGAAAAAAAATGTGATAAATTATTCTGCCCAGTTGAAAATGTTTTTCATGAAATAAAGTGAAATGAAACCACATGTGCTTGTGCCTATTTTGGAGAATCTATCTACAACTATGACTAGACAGCACTTGGCTTCCCAATTTCCTTGCAAAATACACTGTTTGCACAAGATATTCAGTCCTTATTGTCCTTGAGGACAGAATTTTGTCTTAGCCCTGGGTCTCTGTAAATGAATAGGAATTCACTTGTGATTCTTTGTCCACTGAAGTTATTTTTCACTTTCATTTAGAGCATTCTCTTGAAATGTACATCAGATTCATGTAGGGGCAAAGGTAAAAGTAGACCTGTGTTGCAGATAATCCCTGAACAAATTATATCTACTGAATGTTTGACTGGTAGTCTATTCATATAATTAAGATTGGTTGAGACTGTGAG